AAAGCAGGTTTATTTTTAATGCTAAAAAAATGGATAATTTAATAAATCATTAAATTTATTAACAATGATTTTCAATTTATTTTTGTTATACAGTTTCAATTTTTTTGTTTCTGGTCAATTATTAGATATATGTGCTCAAAGTTCAATAGTGTTAAATGATAAACTATATTATTTTGGAGGATATTCTAACAGTTCAAGATCTACAAACCAAATAATTTACCTAATTTATCCACACCATTTTCACTTAATCAAAAATTACCAATAAAACTAATTGTTCCAAAATCAGGATTAATACCTCCATTTGCTTTGGCATTATTAGCATTAGGAGGAGTTAATAGTGACACACTTTATGTTATAGCTGGAGAAAGAAATTCAACACCTGGTTCAACAGCTTATGATTCCATAGTTTATTCAATAAATACAAATTCATTTGACTCCAGTGACCCCTGATGGACAACTACAGTTAAAGTCTAGGATGTCAATGTATACACAAGATAATAATGGAAACACATATATAGTCACCTTTAATGATTCAAATATATATAAATTCAATGCCAAAGAGTCTATATTTACAACCTTAACACCATATAATAATGGTCCACCTATAACAATCATAAATTATCCCAATTCTCATATGTTGGATGATGAAAATATAATTTACCTTGATCTTTATCTTTATTCAACTAAAGTAATATTATAATTTATTTTTTTTATTATTTAATTAAAATAAAAGGAATGAGAATGTTATATTTTCTAATAATACATATTATGTTTAGACATCTTTATATAATAATAAACAAAATTTATGGTCTAATGTAAGTTATATAATCATCAGTAATGGTATTTTTAACTGAAAAAGATATTAATAAATATTTTGTTACATTAGGCAACAATTGGTGGTGATATACCTTCTTTACAAATTGGACATTCTTCAGTATTAGGTAAATTAATTAATTTTATTATTAATTATTTAATTAAATATATTTTTTTAATTATATTTATTTGTTTTTAGCACCTGATGGAAGGATAATTGTGTATGGTGGTACTGAAAAACCAGACAAAATAGCAATATTGGATGTAACAAAATCTCCTTTCCAATGGACAATTCCAACAAACATTACTAACTATCCTGTTAATCTAATTGATAAAGTACATAGTTATCATACTTCAAATTTATATAAAGGAAAATATTATATACAGAAAGGTTCTTTTAATGGAATATACAGAACCCTACCAAAAATAGCAATTCATTCTATAAAAAAGGAAACTAAATTGTAGCTCAAAATTTTTGTAAAACCAATGTGACATTTATCACAGACGTGATGATTAAATTTGTGGGCTGGGGGTGGCAGGAATTACACAGTGTTTACCAACTCTAAGAATTAATCCTTATTTGTCACATAGGTTCTGTATATTTCATAAAAGAACCTTTCTGTATATAATATTACCCATATAATAAATTTAAAAAAATTTTTGTGGCACCAAAAAAATAATAATAAATCCGCAAAACCCCTAAAAATCCTTATTAATGAAAATTTATATATCATATGATGTGGACACCCCAGTCTATTATGCTATTTCTAACACTGAAAAACAATTACCATCCAATGTATATTTCAGATCATGATTGTTGGCCATTATATAAACAGACAAGGTTGTTGTGCAATATAGGAAATTTAATTAAGAAGACTATTATAGAGTAGGGCTTTTATATAATAAAAAATTGGGATCCAATTCTCAGTTTGTTAGTGTAAACTGTTATAGAAAAGGCCATTATAGAGGGTGTATATATACATCGGTAAAATACTATGTGTGAGCAATTTATCAAAGAAATACTTCATTCAGAGCTTGCTTGCTGCAAATACCAATGATTTCTTGTTAATAGTAAGCCTACAACTCAAAATGTCAATTACTGGTACAAAGTTCTTTATAAATTTGTTTTGATGCCAAAGTCAATACATAATTAGTAATTTATCCAAACTGATAGTTGGACAATAAAATCAATGTTTTTTAAAAAGAAAAATCAAGTTATTTTCATCAGTAATATGATTTTACAATAATGCAAAGATTAATTAAATATAAACTACACTATTATAAAACCTATACTAATTATTTATATTTATAAATTAAAAATGTTAGCAATTTATTATGTATACCACATTTGCCAAATTTTCTTTTCTTGTTCAGTCCCATCAAAAACAAAATTCATATATCTTATTTCTTGAAAACCTTCTTCAATTTTTGGTTCAATAAATCTTGATTTGTAAGATTGATATGCAACTTCAGGTATTAATTTAATCTAAAATAAGATCAAATACTATTATCTATTTATCATAATGATAAATAACAATAATAATTGATTTTATTACCTTGTTATTGCTATTTAATGCTCTATAAATGTTATTATGTTTTGATAAAGCTTCAGATGCTTGAAACCAAAAACATCTAATTGGGACATTGTATTTTTTAGCTAGATCAATATATGTTCTTCTTGTTTCAACATCAGGGTTTGTATTATCTAAATATTATTATTATTACTACTATGCTATTTATTTACTTATTATTATAAATATTGTAATATAGCATTTTTTATATTTACCTATTACAACAGGTTTATTTTTTATTAAAGCATCTTCACAAGCCTTGATACATTTAGCTTTTGTTTTTAATATATCCTAATAATAAATGATTATAGGTAAATGATGTTAATATTTATTGAATATAATTATAAAATCATTTGTCAATTTTTTACCTGATTAACATGAATATAATTATTTTTGCTGATTAACCATTTTTTTGTAAATGTTGTTTTTCCAGATGCAGGAAGTCCAACATTTATTATAATTTCACATTGATTACTTGATGAAATCAAAGGTTTATCACTAGGAGAAAATAGCATAACTAGATCATTAAATTTAGGTATGTGAGTAATGAATTAGTAAAATAAAAAATAAAAAAATATTATATATTGTATTTTTTTTGATAATTAACCATCATCATTTTCATCCATCGTTGGAATACTCTTTGGATTAAAATCTCCATAAGAATATTTTGCAGGCTGAGCATTATCAAAAAATTCTTCAGGAGTATAAAATTTTATTCCAATATTTTCAGCAAATTTACTATAATTGATAAAAATCATAACCATTATTTAATTATAACCAATTAATCAATCAATTGGCTAATTTAATTATTACCGATCTGTGTCTGACCAATCACAAGGTGCATTGGCCTTCCAATTTCTAATTCTGCCTGCTGCATCACCAACATAAAAACTGTTTTCTAAATCTATAAATTATCATCATCATCATCATTGTTGTTGTTGTTATTACTATTACTATTACTATTATTATTATTATTATTAAAAAACATTATTTTACCTATTAAATCATTGTTTTCAGTCTCAATAAAATATTTCCATATTCCAATCCTTGGTTTACGGTAAATGTCTTTACCAGTAGCAACATAAATATCAAATGAAATATTTAACTAAAGTAGAAATATAAAAAAATTAATAATTAAATTAAAAATATTTAAAATGATTAATACAACTAAATAATAAAATTTACATCGTTGGAAATATGAGAGATTTTATTTTTAAAATCTTTTTCCTTTTTTTCCTTTGTCTTCTTTTCAATACCCAAACTACCTTGATTACTAATAATAATAAGTCTATATCTAATAATTATCATCATAACCATCATTAATATAATTATTAAATTAAATTATCAAATAAAAATTATCATAATTGCAAACCCTGAATCATAATAATCTTTTAAAATTTTTGGAACTGATTCTTTCCACCACCTCCAATCGTATTCATCTTTGGCATATTTATGACTACCTTTAACTTGTATCAACGTATAATCCTAATTATAAAATGAAAAATCGATATCAATTAAAGAATTACTTTATTATTTTGAATAAATAATGATAATAAATCAAATACCAAATCAAAAGCTGCAATTTTTGATCTTGCTTCATTTTTTTCACCTTTAGATTTAATATATCTTCCTATTAAGATAGTTTCATGTTCACTCCATTGAACTTCGGTTTTAGGATTAAAAATTGAAAAAACCCTAGACTTTAATTCTTAGAATAAAGCGTGTAATAAGTTTTGAAATTTCAAAGCATGTTAATCAAAGGAATAAATTTATATGTATATATATAACATACACACGAATATATAAGACTGTAAAGCGTAAACTAAAGAGTAAAAGGCTTAAAATAATAATAAAAATTTTACCAATTTTTATTTCTTTTTTATGTTCATCTTTCTTTTCAAAATCAATTGAACGATATCTTTTCAACTTTATTTTTTTGGTATCGTTTTCATTATTATCATTACTTTTAATAATGGATTTATCAGTACCTTTTTTTAAATATTGAAGCTGGTCAGTTGTAATAATGTATTATTATTTATTATTATTATGATTTTAATTATAATACCTTTTTCTGTTTTAACATAATGTTTCTTCATAGTAAACAAACTTTACGGACTCTGCGATTTTTAAAAAATTGTCAATCTTTGACTAATAAGATAAAAAATAAGCTGATTGATCGTATTACAAAAAAAAACAATTATTTCTACTTGTTGATATTTTAAAACTTTTTTGTTTATTTCGAATATTAATAATTATTTCTAGTGGTTGTATATATTATCCGGATAATCGGTCATTCACCGAATATCCGCCAAATATCCACCGAATATCCGTTGAATATGCATATTTTTTTTTTTAAGAAATACAAATAACAACGGATCAATTTTATTCGTTTGGCTGTCATTGTGTGTTTCCAGCTTCACTAAATACAGTCAAACCTTGTCGCAGCGGATGAACGAAGATTTATTTAAAACCCGTTGTGGCAAAATTTACTGATCTTGCCACAATGGATTTTTATGTTTTTATATTTTAATGTGAATGTGAAGCAAAAATTTAAAAATCCGTTATAATTATATTCCGCTATGACAAGGTCGCTCATTTGGAGTAGAAGTTACTGCAATGCATAAATATTCTTTAAATAATAATGACACAGTTAGTAT